GGGAGCGTGTGAAGCTTCTTCCTGCCCTGCTAGGGGCATGGGTGCTTAGTGGGAAGGAGGTGCAATGGAGCCCACCCACCCTCAGACCAATCATGGTCTGTGGGTGGGGAAGCCTGGAAGCATCTGGCCCCGCACTCTTAAAAAATGTTTGAAGTGCCCCCAGTCAAAAATTATTGCTCACCACTGGGTTATACTATGTGTGCTTAAGCGACGAGGAGTCCTGTGGCACCTTAGAGACTAACTAAAGTGTAGGAGCATAAGCTTTTGTGGGCAAAGACCCTCTTCGTCAGATGCATGTCAAATGTGTGCTTGGTTAGTGCAATAATAGGAAAGTTAAATAATTAAAAATAAAATGTTAGCAAACCCAAAATGGAGCCAAAACTATAGCTTGTGAATGTATGTTTGCTGGCCTGGATCCCTCCATATCAGTACCCAGGAGTTCAGGGCCCTGCTAGGTAAGGAACATGAAAACCAAAATGGCCATTGATCAATAGGCTAACCTAAGATACTTGTAGGAGCACAGAAGGCATAGCTATATTTTGGTGTTTGCTGCCTTTGGTATACTGCAAGTCCTGCAGTCTCATTATTGACTGCAATAGCTAGAGGATTCCGCAAGAGGGGAACAGCTATTAAAAGTCTCCATGAGGATTTAGAGTTGGCTGGCATAAGTTCAGGGTCCATCCGATTGAAATTAGTTCTGTGTATCTTGCTGGTTCTGCCTAGGCCTGTAATTAACATTTGCAAATTTCAATGAAATTCATGCTGGCTACAGGATGCTGGTCTGTTGAAAAATGTTACCCTGCTTTTTATTCTACTATATTTCCAATTAAGTGGTACTCTGTATCCATTAAGCTTTCAAAGCAACTGGGAGCTGTCAATAATATCACTCTCTGCTCTGGTGAAAAAATGGAAAAATCTCTCTGCATATTGGTATCTCAAGAGAAAACAAACTGCTTCCTTGTTAAAGTGCCAGGTATGGTAAAACAAGCGAAATGTACCGTTAATAGCTAGGCATTAGGGCAGTTTGAGTTAGAGTTCATTTGCCATTTTATATTCTTCTGACAACAGTACGAAGAAATCACTGCCTAAGGTTTCAAAGAGAATGCATATGTAGCCACATACCAATGCTGACTTTTATGGGAGCTATTTGATTAACTCTCTCATGGCCCATTGGGAAATGTAGCTGTCTTGTGTCTAATTTCACTCTGAATTATCTGCATTTTGCCATTTAGCCACCAGTTACATATTTCCCTCCTAAATTCAATGCTCCCATGAGCATTGTATGTGAAAAATACATTGTCCACCACCTAAATTTAGCTGCCCCATGGAAATTGCCAATGTTTTTCTAGTGTCACTTCATATTACCAAAACATTTTTTCTAGCATGTTATGCTGGAAGGCAGTGTTATTTTGCCACATGTTGTATACAGAACCCAAAGTTTCCAGTGTGAATGAATTCTCATAACAAACTGCTAGGAAAAGGCACTGGAAAGACATTATTTGTAAATGTATTCAGCGAACAATTCTTAATAACAAATAAATGCGAGATCATCATGAGCTGAAAATGGAAAATAGGATAACTAACTGAATTACTCACATATGCATTTAGCAAAGATGGCATTTTTAAGGAATGGCTAAAGGGCAAAGATAAACATATGAATATTTGGAGCAAGTAAATACCATTGAGAAAGTGGCATAATTTAGTGAACGGGGGTATAATTAGGTATATAGAGAAGTTTATGGTATTTATCACTACTGCACAATCTGCTGAGCTATGGAATAATCTCTCAAGAGAAGTGTTGCCTCTCTTGACATACTTTAAAACTACTGATTTAGAAAAAGTACACTGTGGAACAATTGCCCACTAATAAGGAAGACTGGCTTGACCAAACTGATCTTTTCCAGCTCCAAATTCTTTAATCCACTCAAAATTCCAACCAGAATGGGCAACATGGCCAGTCAAATTCCATCCCACAGCTATTTTCTAAGGGAGATAGCTACTGCTTTGGGAAAATCCAGGAGATGGACCGGATATCACTGAAGTCCCTTTTACACCTTGCTCAAAGAAAGGATAAGATATGAACCTTATGTCTTCTCTTATGGTTTCTTTGCTGTAAGGCTTATGGTTATGTGGAACGTAAGTGGTGCATAGGTATCATGCTAGCCCCATCAGAGGAATGAATTTCACTGTAAATGAGCACAGCCCAGTTAGCATATTGCAGGCAGTTTCAATAAACCAGATTTTTTGTCATTAATTTTGAGTTGCTGGGCAAAAAATAAATTCTGCAGCCAAAGTACTGCCTAACTGAGGGGGTACTGAGGATGAAAGTAGTATCCCACTGCCAGTCTTTATGTGTGCTCTATTTATAACACATTTCCGGAGCCCACTGCTATTATATGCTTATTCCAGCAGAGAGAACTGAGCTCCTCGTCTCTTGTCTTCAAGCAGCAGCTGAACACCTACGCTTTTGAAATGAAACAATAAAAAAGTTTCTTCCTGGTTCACTTGATCAAAGAAAAGATGAAGCAAGAAGTAGACTTCTGTATGTCTACACAGGGGATTTGCTCTGGAGTGGCTGCTTTAGTGTAACAGTCCCTAGTGTAGACAAACAACACAGTCCAATGCATGGGCTCCCATTATAAAAATACTAAATGATAAGAGAGAGAAAGGAAGAGCAATTAATGTGCAGGTTGGATCAGGCCTTTTGTGCAGGAGTATCTTGGATTATAACATACAGTGACTCTCAAAGTGGGCGGAGGTGCAGAGATCAGCACAGAACCTTAGCAATGAAATTTTCATGAAGGAGCCCGGACAGCTTCAATCTATGTCCATGGCAGCCTGCTCTTAGTATAAGGGCCAGGGCAACACTGAGGACCACCAAATAAAAGGAGGCTGGCTAGCCAAGAATCCTCAAAGGAAGCTTGGAGTGTTCATATTAGCCTAGTACTCCGGAGCCAGTACCCTAGGGCAGAGATTCTGGAATTACTACCAATGTTCTGTATAGTACTTCTTTGGTGATTTATGGAAAAGTGGCTGGTTATATGCTGTTGGGTGGCTTCTTTCCTTCCAGGTACAAAGTTGCATTAATGCTGTGAAAAATTTCTTCCATGTAAATGCAATTGCAATAGCTGCCGCAAATGTTTGCTCTAAGGGTATGTCTACGCTAGCCTCCTAGTTCGATCTAGGGAGGCTAATGAGGGCAACCAAAATTGCAAACGAGTGCAGGATTTAAATATCCCGTGCTTCATTAGCATGTTCCCGGGTGGTCGCCATTTTAGAAATTGACTAGCCCGAAGTAACTGCCCGCGTCTACACGCAGCAGTGAAACGGGATTCTGAATAAAAGCCCTAAATCGAATTAGCTCGTATTCCTCCTGCAATGAGGTTTACCAGCTAATTCGATTTAGGGCTTTAATTCGGAATCCTGTTTCACTGCCGCGTGTAGATGCGGGCAGTTACTTTGGCTAGGCGATTTCTAAAATGGCGACCACCTGGGAACATGCTAATGAAGCACGGGATATTTAAATTCCACGCTTCGTTTGGGATTTTGATTGCCCTCATTAGCCTCCCTAGATCGAACTAGGGGGTTAGTGTAGACATACCCTAAGTGGTCCCTGCATACACAGCCCAGAGGGGAGGTGATCAATGGCATGCAAAACCATGATTTTTTTCTATTAAGAGTGGGTGCATTAAAATGCTTTGGAACTCCCCAGTCATAGAGGATCATGGAACAAAGCCTAGTTCTGTCTCAACTCAGCCAACTACAAGCAAAATATCTTGTAACACGAAAGGAGGTAGCCTTGAGGACACCATTAATATTTAAAACATATATGCATATTTATATGATTTATGTATATCTATAATGATGAATCATTTTGAAATAGCACACTGACATACTAATAGCAAAATAAAACAAAGTTCACTGGAATTAACATCAAAACACAGCCTGATCTGCTCTGTGCACTGACCCTAGCAGTACACTTCTAATTAGAGATGACTCCATGAGGTTTACAGTGAGAGAGTCTGGAGCTGCCCTTTGCTGCTTGGGTCAATCTCTTCTCTTAATTTTCTCCATTATTGTCCTTTCAGTTTGTATATTTTTTGTGTGATCAGTCTGTGCTGGTAGGAAGCTGAAGTGGGTTAATGGCCGTCTGGCAAAGGATTTATCTCTTGTTCTGTGTTTGTAAACAGCACAACGTGTCTCTCTTCACAAGCAGCATTATAGGACTAGTAATATTTGTCCAGTTGAGCAAGGCAGGTCGCTTAGCAGCTCTACAAAGAGCCAAGTGAACCCAGCTGGCTGGTTTTGTTAGGGCTTTGTGTCCAGAGGTGGAGGTAGGCTGCATTCTGAGTTGCCCTGCATAAAAGAGTTGAAATTTTTGGTCTGGTAATGATGAAGACAAAGTAGAGGTATTTTTAAAATGCAGCAAATTGTCTCCAACAGCTTGTGGGAGAGAGAGCTCCTAGCTCCTTCAGCAGGGCCACGCAACCCAAATGCGTGTGGTATTGTGATCCTGTGTGCCAGGTCATAGCACCAACCATTCCAGTTTGGGCTGTCAGGACGAGTGGATTCTAACCCTGAGTGTGGCAGAGGACTGGAGGCTAGTGCCTAGGGCTGGAGGCCAGGGCTCTTGCCTTCTCACCCTAGAGGCTGCAGAGGAATGGGAGGGGGCTGGGAGCCAGGGCTGGGAGCCAGGGCTCTTGGGTTCTGGCCCTACAGGAGGCAGAGGAATGGGGGATGGGGTCCAGGGCTGGGGGCCAGGCTCTTGGGTTCTGGCCCTAGAGGTAGCAGAGGAATGGGGGCTAGTGCCTAGGGCTGGGAGCCTGGGTGCTGAGGAAGGGGCCGAGGGCTGCAGCGCCGACCACCCCGCATAAAGCAGCGTCCCCCACTCTCCCTCCCGGGGGACCCCTGAACCCGGCCCGGCTGCTCCCCCGGGAGTGCGCAGGGAGGGGTTTGCGGGCGAGCCGCGGGCGGCTGTCAGGGTGATGCAGCCTGTGTGGGAGGGGATACCCCGGCTCCAGCATGAGGACTGTGTGAAAGATGTGCGAGCAGGCAGCGCGCTACTGCAGGGAGAGCGTCCACAAGATCCTCCACAAGCAGCAGCCGCAGCTCCGGGGGCTGGACGGGCTGCTCCGCTGGATAGTCACCAAGATGAGCGACAAGAGCATCCTCTCGGAGCGGGAGCTGCCGCTGGAGGGGCAGGCGGCCGCCGGGCAGGGCTTCTGCCCCCCGGAGCAGAGGAAAGGCACCTCGGTCATCCTGGATGTGAGTTCCCGCAGGGCACGGGCAGCAGCGAAGGGGCCCGGGCCGGTGCGAAGAGCCGCAAAGTGGGGGCGCTGCGAGCTGCCCCCGGGCCCCCTTCGCACGGCCCCGCTTCCGGCTCTGCAGCAGCGAGGCCGGGCAGGGAGCAGGTGGGGACCCGGGCGGGGTGGGTCTTGCTGGGGCCGCAAATCTTGCCAGGCTGGGTGCAGCTGGGAGGCGAGCGGCCCCGGCCCTGCGGGCTGAGCGGGAGCGGCGGAGCCCGGGGCAAGGGGGCCGGGTCAGTGGGGCAGCACTGAGATCTCC